GCTCGCCGAGTCTCACACTGGCGACTTAGTGAGTCGCTTCACAAAACAAGAGATGACATTAAATAAACCCCATTCCTCATAACTGTGGGAATTTTCGGTTTTATGAGCATATTTGAAACACTTTGATCTTATATTTTCTGCCTTTGTTGCTGACTAGTGGTGGGGCTTTCTTTTGATCCCAACAAAGAGCGAAAACGCAAGTGACGCGTATACTTTCGCAACTGGCGAACGAAGTGTACATTGACGGGGAATTCATCTGATCAATGGGCGCCTGAGATCTCCGACCCACAAATATTTTCACTCATATCCGTCATATTGAATGGTCGGTATTCGGAAACAAACTTGAATGCAACTGCACGTTCCATAAATTCAGTATTTCCCAGCTTGAATAGTGTAGTCATCATCGCTGAAGGAGCCAACCAATTAGGTAGTGTGGTGCCTTGGATTCGCATAGTTATCTATCAAATGTGGTGCCATTACTAAAATATCAACACTGCGCACAAAAAGGTCTTTGCTCTCCTGTCAGCACTCCGTTCACAGAGAAAGTCTTCCAGTTAATAAAACAATGGTTGCCGATCTGCTTACCGTGCTATCTTCCGTGTATTTCTAGACTATTTGCAGATCGATCTTTTGCGGAATGACATAAAATTCCACTGGGAATTCGGAACCATTCTTTTCTTGTAATCGACGATCTACGTGTTTTGTCACTCATCTTGTTGGTACTTTGAGTTTATATTCCCTTCGGTTGTTCGTTAAATCAAATGTTAATTAACGATTTACGGAACAGGTGTAGCAGCAAAAATATTTAATCTTAATCACGAGGACAGGCACAAAGGTGAAGAAAAACTATCGGCAGATAAATTTCTCAAAAGTGACGTTTCAAAAAATTATCCGTATGCTTTCATTAATAACTGCTTACCAGCGGTGTATGTTCTGCAATTGGTCGATGAGCAACAAGTCTCATTTGATCACCGATTCACCTGTGCAGCATCTGCGTTAGTGATCGACTGACTTGTTTTTATTTCATTTCGTTTCATTTCATTTCGAGAACTAGGTGAGATTTGGTTTGGTTGAACATTTCAGGTCACTGTCTGTTAGATATATCTTACCATAACTGGTACTTGTAGGTTGTTTGCTCCAACTGAAAATTGAAGCCTGGCGGCCTTAGGAAACAAAGCGGTCAAAATAGTCAGTCAAACTTTACTGCAGTTAATTTGTGGACAAATCGGTAGGCTGAAAGTTTTGCTTTTGTTTATCAAACTTAACCGTTCCGTCAGGATTTGGTGCACCAGACTGCGAAAGTCTCCTCGTCAAATTATTTTGACAGGCGTGACGTAGTTAGATTAATCAGTTGCTTCTTCCACGTTATCAAATCCCCGATATTTGATGTTCTAAACTAGGGATCATTTGAAAGTTAGGATTTATAATAGGAGTATCGTGGAAAATCATGACGGGACCTTCTTTAGAGTTTGTCTTCCTATCACAGAAATATATTCATAACCACGAAAAAAATCTTCTTGGTTAAAACTAGGTAATCGCTTCTTAGTTGGATGAGCGAGCAGTATTCGTTCTTTCTTTCTCTTTAATGCTTGTACTGGTTGTTCGTAACGTTTAACCTCAAAATGGCGTGCGGTAAACAAATAAGCAAAAAAATTGGCACTCCCCGAAGTTGACTGTTTTATTTTTCCCGCTTTTGCACCTATATTTTTTCGTTCATCCATGGTTATTTGGCGCCGTATCTGTAAGGATTGATGTCAAATATATATATATATATATTGATGGAATGGATAGGGCGTTTAAATGATCAAGATAATTTATGTCTGAAATGAAACTGAATAATTGCAGCTTTAATGTGTAGCCTACCAACATCAGTCGAGCTGATCGCATTCAATGCAGATGAACAGAACCCATACAGTGTGTTTTGGAATGTATGGCCATGATGCGTTGTACACTGAGCAGACGCTTTGTTTCTTTGAAATATTTTGACACAGTTCAATTGCATCATTCTTCTACTGTGTCGATTTTCAAAACTGGTTACTTTATTCCGTGTTTTTTGCACATTGCGATGGATCAATTAGTGCTGTGAAATGCATTAGGCCCTGACTGTTTACCGGGGACATGGTACGAGAGCGATTTTTTGGTATGAATGAAAGTATTATTGACTTTCCGCTACCAGTTTGAACAAAGAATTCTATCGAACTGTTACGGTTTCCAATTACAAATATCTTACGCTGTGTAACACGTCAGACATATTGTTAATAACAGTCATTTTTGATTCGTATTATATCCGGATTTCACGTCCGACGGTGAAAGAGAAGTTATGCGGAGGTCATTCGGTTGTGTGAAATTCGTATGTAAAGAAATAAACTTGTGATAGCGTGTAAGGGTGATGGTTTTGTGTCATGACCAGAGTATTGAGGTCTCTTATACTGAGTGATGCGCTCAAAAGTAGAATGTGGTCATCGATATCATGGGCGATGGTTAATAAGTAACCCAGCAAACGACCAGATGGACGCGCGATTGGGCTGTGCAGTATCTACTGGATAGTCCCAAAAGTAAGCACACGGTATTAGTACTTTAGCTTCCTAAGTATGTGCATTGCTACTCTTCCATTCATATTCATATTTTTCATATTGCTAGGAGACAGCTTGTTTGATTATATTACTAATGGTACCAACGAGATTAAGGATAATGGTGATGGTAGGGGTAATACTTTTGTACTTAGTAGCCCTCACATTTTGCTTGTCTATCCCACTGTTTTCAGGGTAAGTAGATGCCCTATGAGTTACGTCAGAAGTTTAGTTTTTAAAAAGTATTGCATCATCAACTCACTTCGCTTTCAGATAGCAATGCTCAATCCACTTAATGACCGAACAGGGTTTGTTAACGCAGCTGGTGAACTCATCTACGTGTGGTCCATATCTAGTGGTTCCGGAGCTCCCAAGCATCAACTGTATTGTCCTGGCTTGTCAGAAACCGGACTTCGCGGGGCTAATATTACACGAGCCATTTTCAGTCCGGATACGGACGCTAGTATGGTGAGTGTCCGTATGTAGCCTAGAAACTATAGAGAATTATCGTATTTTAAATACACAAACTACAAAACTGTACTCAATTTGTCAAAAGGTTCGAACCCTGTAGTTTGATCAAAAATAGATCTTTTTGCGTAGAAGTGATAGAAAAGATGAAACGGACCGCAATACGAAGAAGAAAGTACACCTATTCGAGAACCTAGTGCGGTTCACAGAATTTAATTACCCAGTACGGCTGTGACCAGATATTTTACCAGTGTAAAACAGGCAATATTATGGAGGATTCCTACACAAGTTTAATCCTGCGGGAATAATCTGGTATAGAGAGCTAGTTTCTGAGTAAAACGGTATTTTGAGAGGTTGTCATACAGAGGATCACTGACGAAGACAGATCAAAAAAGAATACCTCGGTGTAACGTTGAATTCTATATAGCTGTTCTTTCTAACGACTCCGCGAAGTAATACAATGAATCGTTAACGTTCACACATGTCAACTTATTCTAGAGTTGAAGTAACCAGTCACTTCTCCATGACATGTTTTGGTACCGCTAGAGTGTCAAAGAAGAGGAGTTCGAGTGAGTCTACCTCTGACGCATAGTGATGTCAAAGCACGGCAGATGCAGTATGCCTTAAGCAGAATTTTATGGCTTGGTGACGTCTATAAGTTCATCACGCAGCCTAGTTGATGGATGGCAGGATGGCAGGCAACTGACCGGTCCAATTTCTGATCACAAGATGAATTTAGGATGCATCTAAAAAAGAGAATTAAGTCAACCCTTAGCTTTCAATTCTCCTATTGATTTCATTCTTGTGCATAAAGAAAACAAATACCGTCAACTCATAAACCAGTTTTGGTGAAAGTTAAATAATGATAGCTAAATGGAGATAAAAAAAGAGTGTGATTGAATAATGTGAAAGAATAAACGGACCCTAATTTTAAACCATTTCTGATTTTGAACTACACGAGGCGTTTTACTAACCGCGCGCGTTCCCAAATATCTGATAGACGTACGTGCAGATCTTGTAGCTTTGTTTCAAACCTTAACTCACCCAGTGAATAATATCTCAATACGCATTTTTTATTGTTTTTAATATAATCTGAACAGTCACAGGTTAATTCATTGTCCCTGAATTTTTCGTTTGTCGTGAAAATAAGAGAATATAAATTTAAGCTAGATTGTCTTCGATTAATTTGTCTCAATATCACATATGGGATACTGCTCTTTAAAACAGGCTTTTCTCCCTAAAAAGGAACTTTCCGTTAATGATTGAAGCATTTACAGGCTTGTTTTCCAGTTCAGGTTTTCCCTGAATAAGCAAAATCACAGGATAGAATGCTTCGCCAATTATGGGCACAATTTAAAAACTGATTTCATGCGGGAATTTAGGCTAAGGAATAGTCAAACCTTCAAACAGAGAAAACTACAAATATCCCGTATAGATGATTAGTGATCCTGAACTGTTCTGAAAACTAGCATGGCAGTGATGTAAACCGCACCGGTCTCTTTGAAATTAGTAAGATTAGTTATTTTAAGATATGAGTTTATAATTATATAATTATAATTCTCTGCTTCTTTCAGTAGAATATTTTCTCCATTTGTTTTGAACTTAGGTCGTTGGTGGTTTGGCCGATGGTAGTCTTTGTATTTGGGATTTGCGCGCCAGTCGTTTTGGAATGTGTCCTACACGGAACGATCCGGTTCGGTCATCTGATTCTGACCAATCTGACTACCGAAGAATCATGTTCGCCAAAGCTCCAATTTATTCCACATCTGGTGTGGATATCCAACTAGTCACTTCCACTCAAAGCGCATTTATGGACTCGAAATCCAAACTTCACGAAGCCGAATCCCGACGGAGATGTTCGACGAATGAAGTGCATCGGCAACATTACTACCGTGCACAAAGCCAACACCACTCGGTGCCGATCGTGGACGTACAACTCACTCCATCTGCTAGATGTGATCCATGTTTGACGACTTTCCAGTTTGCTGCGCTTGATGAGTCCGGTGAACTGAGTCTATGGATGGTTCTTCGTCCAGCAAGGTCCACAGTTTACAACATTTACGAGAGTTTGGCTGGATCACAGACCGACTTGGGTTTGCGCCCGGCAGAACATGTCGTGCAAATGGTCTGTTTGGCCTATCTGATACCTACCTTGCCACTGGATTTTGAGGTACGTTCCCTGGAGGACCATGATAATAATAACAGTTGCCTTTTTTAAACGATTATTACTTCTAGCACTGTTTAATCGGTTGTAAAATTTCTCATTCGATTTGACCCTTAAAAATGTTGCATGGATTACTTTTTGTCTTTTCTGTATCCACAAAATTACAAAAGCCGTAAACGGGCGAGTTTTATTGTTTTTTTTCCAGATGCTTTTGCGCTGGAATCTTATATTTATTCATTTGGAGGCTGTCAAACACATAAGATGATAACCAATCTATGGTTGACACCAACGTTTTTGATGAGATTTTCATGCAGATTAATCGCTGAACATTTCTTGCATGCTCCTTGCTCCAGAAAAATAATTTATAAACTTTACAGATACCACAGCTTGGGAATTTACGGGAAATTGACAAGAGGGAATATGATGAAATGTTGTGCTAATAGCGGACCAGAACCGAGTACACAAATAACCGAGAAGCTCATAGTTGTGCAGTCACATCAACGGGTACGTGATCAATCACATAATCAACTGAAATGCCTGACCAAGATGGACTTATTTTTCCATCAACTGCAGTCAGAAATGCAATATTCTAATAGACAAAAGGTCGGTTCCAGTAGTATGAGCATCTTCACCTAACGATAAGTAAATATGAATCCACCATAGAGTACTTCCTAATAATTGGTTTCGCGCTTGTTGTATTTTGCTTAAATTGAGGTAACATATTAACTGAAAAGTAAAATTATTCTTGAAAGCGTGGTGTTAATTGGGTGATTGGATTTCGCATCAGCTGCTTCCTTGGAGCTCTTAGAGAGTGCCATCAATTAGCTTCAGGATTTTACGTCCTTTCACTAGTTTTGCGTTTTTTATATGTGACCTATCTTTTTCTACTGTTAATCAGTACTGCAGCTTGCTGATTTTACTCTCATGCTGTTCACCTCGCGAATTAATATTCATGTTTTCAGACTGTTGTTCCATCGCGTATTTCTCTGGTTTCACCCCTGAATTCTGATACAGATTAGAGCATAAAGAAGTGAAATATTTTTGTTGAACCAAAGATTTCTCAGCTGTCTGTTCTCAGCAAACACTTCGCCTACTCTTTTGATTTTTTCCCTTCTACTCTGATTTCTTACACTCCATCATCCTAGTCCTTCTTTTTGCATTATACTCATTTCCCTAATTTCGAAATCCGGGATCTGCATCAAACTCCTATAAGCTTAACTACCTGGAACTGAGAAACGGGTTCATTATAGTATAGTATGCCACTATCTCGTGCGAGGATAGTGGCATTGATTAACTCCCAGATGTCAGACTGTCTGATCTAGAGTATGAAGATGACATTGTGCTACTAAATGAAAATCCAGGTAAGTTGCAAGCTTTTCTGGATAGTTTGAGTGCTACTGTAGCCATGTTTGGTATGCCTTTTGCACCTTCAAAGTATAAAATGCTACTACAAGACTGGGTTGCTCCAGCACCCAGACTCACTCCAACTGGGGAAGTAATAGAGCAAGTGGATAAGGTTTATTATCTAGGCAGCTGCACCTCACCCGGGGTACGCATCACGGATAAAGTGTCAGCTCACGTACAGAAGGCTCGGTTGGAATTTGCCAACTTGAGACATCTGTCGCGCCGTCGCGACATCCGGCTTTCTGTGAAGTGTGGAGTGTATGTTGCAGCAGTTCGGCCAGTTCTGCTATGTGGAACAGAAACTTGGCCATTGAGAAAACAGGATAAAGATAGACTGTTGGTGTTTGATCACCGCTGTCCACACAGTATTGCACGAATCTGGTGGGGTAGCCGGATGAGTAATGCTGAGGTTAGGCGCAGAGTTTTAGGTAGCCGTAGTCGCCCACTAGAACAAGCACTCAACCTCCATAGATTACGTTGGTTGGGACATGTTTTACGCATGTTATCAGATAGCTGGCTATGGCGAGCAATGTTTGTCGAGGCAGGTAGTGGGTGGAACAAAGCCAAGGATGGTCAAGCTAAGACCTGGCACGAGGGTATGAAAACTCTGTTCAGGGAACTTTGCCACATAGATCCCGTTAGGCTCCCCGGATGAGGACCTCGGGATGGTCGAAACCGATGGCTAGGGACATTGAGTGATAAAGCTTGGTGTCGTAAACAGTGGCCTCCATGCATCTTCCCGATTTCTTTGCAAACTTAGATCACTGAAATTCATTTTCNTTCATTTTCTTTTCGGCCCTATTTTTAACTTTCCTGTCTTCTTCTATTCTTTATTCAAATGGGTAGCCAAAAGACAGCAACCAAAAGCGTCACACGAAAACGCATGCTTATTGATTGCTTAAACTGAACTGAACTATAGTATTTTACTGTTAACCGTTATTCTGCATAGTGATCGATTAATCCCTCTTACAATCAATCTTTTATGTTTTCACCATGAAGCTTGGAGATTGGTCTACAATGGAAGGAGTAGAAGAAGTTGGAGATCAAATGTTACCTTTGCGTGACAAGCCAAAGATTAACGCAACCACTCTGGCCCTGTCAGGCAGTGGAGACTTTCTACTGGGATTTAACAACGGCGCTATAGTTAGACTTTCTAGATCGTCCAAACAGTCTGTTTATCCTCGCCAATTCGGACAACCGTGGAATCGAGCGGCTGTACGTTGTCTTGCAGTTCATTCGATAGCGGAGTTCAAGTTTTTTCTGGCGGGTAAGAGGCGAATAAAATCACCTCCAAAATTACATTGCTTCTGTTTTGATTGTTATTGGAATGTATATAACTACGGGAGGCAATATTGCTAAATAATTTTGATCAGAAATGACTGGGGCTTGGAGCAGTGATTTCCCTAAAAGCAATTGGACTTTTATCACTTTAGGTTGTTCAGTGCACATGTTTTTGTTTTAGGCTTAAATCAACAGATTACAACGTATACTGAAAATCGAACAGAAATAAATCATGAATTTTGTGTTAAAATCACACATTTGAAAATGTGTCATATTTGTGTCACATTTGCTTTATACTTGACATTTCCCCAGTTGGGATTGTTGTTGACCTCGATAGGCGCCTAAACGGACAGCTATATCACGGTATGAATGAAACTGAAGTTTGTAAACCAAAATGCAACAAAATGTTAAAAGCACAGCGAAAACATGAAATCATTTAACCGAAGACGTCACTACCTAGTTCCAATAAGACACCTAAAGTTCTGGGTGTACTTCAATGTATTGGTGGATTTTATTCGAGTATAAAACGAAGTTCCCTTAAGTACAGAGCAAATACAGTGTGACCTGAAATCCACTAAGCTTTCCGCAGCCGCGTCTAGCTGATTGCGTCTCATCAATAGTGCAAATCCATAGACCCAACTGAGGACCGAACCAAGGACCTCACAGGTGCAACGCAAGCATTGTACCCATTTGACCACCGGGAAAAATCCGAAAGCCTCAGGATGGTCGGGGTGGGTGTCTAGGGTTGTGATTTGTCACTCTTCTCTTACATCTCGCGAAATACTGCTATATGACCGAGCATCTAAAATAACCTCTGCTGAGGAAGCCCTACTCACTGCCTTCTCGTGGAGGAGGTGTTTTCCCACCAAAGTGAGAGGACGAAAACTCGTCATCTGGGGCTATAACCGGTTTAGTGAGCCATTGACAGTTCACCTAGGGGCGTCGGCTAAATATCATGATTCCAAACCAACCCAGAGGATGCATACGAACCACACACATCTCTCTGGTTATGGCAGTGGTCTCCGGCTCAGTTGGGCATGGAGGTGTATTGGGAACCTTGGACTTTTGACCCTGTCCAAAAGGCGTTTGGTCCGATGAACTGGACACCGGCTCCTAATAGACTGCGGACTTTGAGCTCCGTCCTGTTGTCTTGCAGGTCTGGCTTTCTAGCCAATGGTTTCGGGTCTGGTTATCTCTCTTCCTCGGTCATGACAACCGGGAGGTGACATGCCCACACAACCTATGAACACATTCTACAGATTTATTTCTTCATATATTGTGGCACATTTGCCAGTTCTATGTAATTGACTACTTGTTGAAATAAAAATAAAAACAGCTGGTCGTACCATTTTTTCCTTTTATTCTCTACTCGATATAGCACAACCCATGTTTGCAAGCATGTTGCGGATGTCAAACGTCACTCATCTCAACACTAGCCTACAATATTACGACTCGATTGAAAACATTCCTAATCTGACTACTTGATACTTGATCAGGTGGATAGTGTGCATCCGTTCTATCTGTTAGATCTCGGGTTCCATCCTCAGTTGGGTCTACTGATTCGCACTGCTGGTTAAGGCTTTGCTCTGTGCCCTAAGCAGTTCAGTTCGTAGTGTATAGTTAAACACACTGCTGAGTCCAGAATGTTTGGTCAACAAATGGCAGTGCAATAATAATGTTTTTGAAAAGGAATTTTTTATCATGTAGCCGGTCTGATCATGAAATCTGTTCAGCGCTTCAGGTTTATGCTTTTCTCACCATTTATAAACTCATCGTTCCTATAAAGTTTTCAATTACTGCACATCAGGAACTGTTACATTTGATTGCGTGTCAATAACCTCAGACTGAATGCTCTCTGAACACTCAGCATCTGCGTTTTATGCGAATTTATCGATCCATTGGTTTATCTCTGATCTAGGCACAAACGATTAATTAGTTGTTCGGTCTTATACTTAAATTGTTAACCATTCAGCAGCCTCGGTGGGATTCGAACCCACTAATGGATGTCACCCATACTTTTGTGCTGTGCACGTACAAAATTGTAGGCGGCGTCTATGCGTGGGTTCAAATCCCACAAAGGCTGATGAATTTTTCACATTTCAAATCAATTAGTTGTTTAAAGACAGCATATTTCTCAGTCACTTCTGTGGATCTTGTACAGACAACAGCCGTTTATATGCATTCTACCATCAGAACGATCAGAATGTTACGGAATCGGCAGAAGGTGAATATACACTATTCGCACTGATGTCACTCCACATCAACTCAGAACGTGTACTACAATGCAGAAAGTATCACAATATTGACTTGGCTTTTCATCACAACTCCTTCATATGCTCCGGGAAAAGTTGTTCACCCCACTAGGTTTTTGGATTTTTATCGCTTACGTATGTACGCTCGTCAACATTTTCGATGATGTAAACAACATCTGAATGAAAAACTGACAGGAAATTTCATCAACATATCCTCTATTGTAACAACAAGTTATATGAAAAAATCTCTATTTTCACGACGAACAAAGTGTTACACCCACATGGAATTTACTCATCAAAGCCAGTTTCATAACGAATGAATTTTCATTTGAAATGTTTCCTCTCTCTAATCAAAGAGGTGTGAATTCTCGCATTTTAGTACACCTTTCTATTGGATTCAAGTCTGGGCTACGCACATTTCACACCATTGTTTTAATACCATAACATGATAACCAGTATTTTGTTATATGCGATCTATGCAACGCGGCATTATTGTGCTAAGGAATGGTTTTTACATGAACAGTTGATGCCATCGCTTGCCTAAATTACAGCTTCAATGTAGGAACATGCATTGAAATCGTATACCTCACTTAGTGTTCGGTTGAGCCGTTGCTCGAAAAGGTACACCCAGATTACCATAGAGTTTCGATCGTCAACCTACTTGCTGAAGAAGAGTGGTGCTCTCCTTTCTGNCGCTCGATTATCGGAGTTACATGAGGTTGAAGGCTATGTCCTTTCTCGTCATCATGCACTTCGTCCTCAGAGCCGTTTCGAATGTTTGTATTTTTATTTACGCTCTAACATCCAACTCAAGCACTTTTTTTATCTCCGACGCGAGACTCATTAAGTCAGAGGGCATATGTAGAAACCTGACGCCTTTTATGACCAAATTCCAACGGTTATTGTCCCATGTCTTGCAAACAGCTTGCACCTAACAATGGGTGAATTTAATCGCTCCCCTTTACACTTTATTCTGCTTAAACCTCAATGACCTTATTACAGAACTCACTAATAGGTCCCTTCCTCTAGATTACATAGTGATTAATCATACCGATACATTCTCTACTGATTAATTCTTCCCCTTTATGCACCAGTGATCCTAACCTGATCCTGACCAGACCTAAGAATTGCTCGCACTCAGCCCATTTTTCCTTTACTCTGCCTAAACTCATTATGTTCCATCGAAAAGACCTTCACTCAGACAACACTGCAATACTGTGAGAGTCTATCAATGTAGTTGCCGACTCTTTCTCTCCTGATGCACCCTGGCTGTTCAATATGTGATTTCTAACAGACGTTTTAAACTATGTTTTGATCTGTGTTATCCCGTTATAACTTTGTTCTTTCAACATAGTAGAATATCAATACCTTTTCTGAAATGTCTTCGTCATGAAAAGGAACGTACATTTAAATGTTGCTGGAGGGCGGAAAGGCAACAGCCATCATTTTCGATCGGGAGTGAGCTAAGACGTTTTGATTCCCTTTACACAAGTCAGCCTTTTGGGACTAACACCTGTAAGTCTCTGTGGCGTGAAATCGAACTACTTTGCAGTCAGAAGAAAGAAGACTGCATCGCTTGTGTTCTAACCGACCGGTGACAGGTTTTCTGTCCAACATTGTTTTCTCCTTGTACCCCTTTACTCCTCTCCCGTTATTTGATCTGGTTTGAAGGGTGACTTCAAGGTATTGAGGCGTGACCTTAGAATGACCAACCGAGGTTTCTCAACTTACACTAACCTTTATGATGGTCATATTGATGCATGCTTGAAGTTGGCTGACGAAATTATATGTGACAGCAGCCAATCTTTACATATGAACCCGGGTGCATGAAAACCCCATCTCTCCATCCGGTCCAATCACAGACTTATCCCATTTCGTATATCTGCCTATTGAAACTCCGTAGTACCCTATCTGACCCGGGCACTTACTGACAAAGTGATCGGTCGTTTTGAGGTTTCATGCATTTAGTATTTAATTCAAACTTTCGCACACCAGATGCCCAGCGTTTTACTATTTTTTGCCAGTATTGTAACAGTAGTTTGATTTGGCTGAAAGCTTAATTATAATTTGCTAAATTCTCAAAAAATAAAAGATACACATGACCGTAGCTTACACTAGTGCGGTGACCCCTGACTCTCGTACGAACGCCAGAGGACTAGCGTACCGATTTTTGAATCGTGTTAGTTGTGTGAATTCCATGAGGAGAGAAATACTTTTGTCTGAGTGTAAATAGTTTTCCTTCATTAAATTTTAGTTACTGTTGCGGGCATTATTGTCAATCATATTACTCCACTTTCACAAGTTAACGGATTAATGGGTGACAACTATCATTAAAGAGTCAAAAGTGTCTGCGAAATATCTATTGGATACCGTAAAACGGCTACAGCCCCAAGGGCTTCTAACACAACATAGACCACTTAGTCCGCGTAACGTACTTTTAACTTTCAATAGGTCAGGAGAATCTCGTATAGCTGGCAAGTTATCTGATCTAGAGTAAGCATATGAGATTGCACTACTATACATTTTCAACTTCAAGCGAATCCGTTGTAACTTCTAGTGACTCCGTTGTAACGTCCACTGAGAATCTCACAATATGATTGGTGTTTTGGCCATCAAACGTCACCGATTGGACCGGGTCTGTCTAAACCTTTTCCAGTCCCAGTGAACTAATTTCTCCGCAAACAAACAAAAGTACTTATTGAGTGAGTTACTCAGCGAGGATTAAAGTTTCGGT